CACTATGATTCTAGAAGACGGGGGAAGTAACAGAGCAACGGCCTGTGAATCACTGAGCAGCCCTAAATAATCAACCCCCATTCCTCTAATTACAGGGGAGCCATACTAAATCTACCTAGCAGCCTGCTCTACACTTGGAGGGCGCTGCATGTTTTACGGCTACTGCTTTTTAGAAAGATGCCAATACCTGAAAGCCCGTAGCCCAGCCACAGTTCACCTTTGACCTCTTAATACTGGCACCTCCTGGCCCTTTAAGAGGTGGGTGGGGTTTGTGATCATGTAACCGCCGTGATTGGCAGCAGAGATTGGGAGCTTTCCGTTAGCCCCCGTTAACTGTTCCGGGAGCGCTCTTGGCACGGCTCTGTTTACATTCTGGTACGACCTCTCTGCGTTAAGGCCCGCCCACCAAGAGGCCACACATACGCGTCCCGCCGGCGGGAAGAGGCTAATTTGATATTACCGATAGATCTGACTTCTTTTATCTGCTTTGAGGTCAACTCTTTTTTTTTTTTTTTTTTTTTCAGCATCTATCGGCAGGGCTGCAGCTCCGCCTCCAGGCGATTCAGAACAACGCCAACCAGCAGAACCTGCGGATGCTGCAAGGCTCGGCCCAGATCACGCACAACTCGGCCGTCCTGCGGAAGTGGCTGCAGTGCACTCAGTTCAGAATGGCTCAGGTGGAGATCCAGTCTTCGGAGGCGGCCTCCCAGTTTTATCCTCTGTAACGTTCCATGGTCATGGCGGAACCAAAGTATGCGATGCGGCCAAAGACGGCGCTGGCGGCCTGATGGGGTTTGGAGATTCATTCATGGATATAACCAAAAACAACCCCACCAATTTGGTGCTTCGAAAGGGATCCCTCATCCAAAGCCAAACATTGAGTTGGGAGCGGAAGTTGAAGGTTGCTGGAACCCTCATTTGTTAAAGGCAACTCCTGTGAGCCCAGTACTTACCACCCCAATGTCCCCCCTCTCCTTTGGTATAAAAGAATGGTAACTTTTCATAAATACTGTCAAATGTATTAAAAAGTTGCATTCACCTGACTGCTCCAGCCTCCTCCTCCCCAGTTGTCTTGGGCAAGGAAGAACATCCTCACGCAAGTGAGAAACTACATGTCCCATAATGCATCGCTCCTCCAGCAGCAAGGGAAGTGTTGCTGTAGTGGATAAAACCAAAAAAAACCCACCAATTTTGGTGCTTTTCAAGGGATCCCTCATCCAGTACTTACCACCCCAGTTTCCCCCCCCCCCCCCCCTCTGCTTTGGGATAAAAAAAAATGGTAACTTTGCAACTTTTTAATAAATTTTACAGTCTTTATGGAGTCACCTGACTGCTCCAGTCTCCTCCTCCCCCCGTTGTCTTAGCTGGTGATGGGCGAGGAAGAACATCCTCAGGCAAGTGAGAAAACTACATGTCCCATAAGGCATCGCTCCTCCAGCAGCAAGGAAAGTGTTGCTTTAGTGGATAAAACCAAAAAAACACCAATTTGGAGCTTTTCAAGGGATTCCTCATCCAGTACTTACCACCCCAATGTCTCCCCCTCTCCTTTGGTATAAAAAAATGGTAACTTTCCATAAATACTGTAAAATCTATTAAAAAGTTGCAGTCAACTGACTGCTCCAGTCTCCTCCCCCCCGTTGCCTTGGGCGAGGAAGAACATCCTCACGCAAGTGAGAAACTACATGTCCCATAATGCATCGCTCCTCCAGCAGCAAGGGAAGTGTTGCTTTAGTGGATAAAACCAAAAAAACACCAATTTGGATCTTTTCAAGGGATTCCTCATCCAGTACTTACCACCCCAGTGCCCCCCCCCCCCCCCCTGCTTCGGTATAAAAAAAAATGGTAACTTTGCAACTTTTTAACAAATTTTACAGTATTTATGGAGTCACCTGACTGCTCCAGTCTCCTCCTCCCCCCGTTGTCTTAGCTGGTGATGGGCGAGGAAGAACATCTTGAAGCAAGTGAGAAACTACATGTCCCATAAGGCATCGCTCCTCCAGCAGCAAGGGAAGTGTTGCTTTAGTGGATAAAACCAAAAAAAACACCAATTTGGAGCTTTTCAAGGGATTCCTCATCCAGTACTTACCACCCCAATGTCCCCCCCTCTCCTTTGGTAGAAAGAAAATGGTAACTTTCCATAAATACTGTAAAATGTATTAAAAAGTTGCAGTCACCTGACTGCTCCAGCTTCCTCCCCCCCCCCCTTGTCTTCGGCAAGGAAGAACATCCTCACGCAAGTGAGAAACTACATGTCCCATAAGGCATTGCTCCTCCAGCAGCAAGGGAAGTGTCGCATGTACCTGGCATAGAAAGGGACATAAAACGATTTATTTTCCTAGACAGGAGCTGATGGACGTTTGCTAATGGTCGCCTGTGTTCCAATGCCAAACGCCGCGTGGCCCATTTTGCAAACACCTCCCCGTAGGGCCCACGGTGAAATGCGACATAAAAAGGTCAAACACAGCAAGAACGGCCGTCCACACTGCAACGTTGCAGCAAACACGCTGACCCGCATTCGATCTACGTTTTTAAATGAACGTCGAACGCAGGAAAGAAATGCGATTTTAGGAAATAATATTTCCGGTGAAAATTGTCACCGTTTCACGATAAGAGGTTTTGCATTAGCTTCGGTTCACATCTATGCGTTGTGTGGGAACGCGTGCAAAACTTGCGCGCTCTCTCTCAGCGCGCGCAGAAACGCGCGCCGCCCTGTGGCAGATGTGCTATTCATTTTGGCAGTTCGGTGCGTCGCGATTTTTCAGAAGGTTCCGGGACGCCTTTGCCCGCATTTCTTGCGCGTTGAAATGAATGGGCTGCCCTGGATGCAGAGCGCGCACACCGCGCGTGCGTAGATGTGAACCAAGAATGTGTAATGTGAGGTCATATGATCCCCGTTGAAGGGACCGTTTGATGGTCCAGTTCAGCAGAGGTCATGTGACCTTTGGTTAATCGACTAGGAATGGCGCGACTACATTTTGAACCCTTCTGGAACTCATCCATTCCAGCAAGACGCAGATTTCATTTACCGTTTTAAGGCTTTCTGTAAATCCCCGGAATTTTTTATTATCTCTTCATCCGCTATGATCTGCTTACAAGCAGCCTTTTGACACCCGCGGATTCCTCGCCGCGGCTCCTTCTCCAACGATGCATTATGGGTAGGTCCCGGGAAAGGAGACGGAACTCGCGGTGAAGACATCTGCCTGTTCATCCACCATGAAAAGATATGACAGATGGAATTCTCGACATATTATTCCTGCTGTAATTCACTCCTGTAAGACCTGCTTTGAATATTAATGGCGGAAAAAACCGCGGGCCTTGTCAGCGGGAGGCACAACGGACACAAAAAAAAAATATTCACTTTAGAAAATATCCCCAGAAAATTTTTACATTGAATTTATTTATTTGAACATATTTTTGTACAGTATTATAGAAAAACCTATTAAAATAAATACAGATTTAAAATATTTTCTTTATATTTAAAAGGACAACACAGGGCTAATATCCTGTATACCATCCACGTGATGTAAGCCCACGGAAATGACCGGAAAAGAATATTTCATATATAGTGGTTGTATTTAGGGGAGTCCCCTGCTGCTGCATTAAAGGAAGATATCTGGTATTATCCAGAAGGACTCAGTGTGAGCTGTAATTGTAACTTTTTTCTGAAAGAAGTAACTTTTGTTATAACATTTTTTTTTTTATTTTTTTTTTTATTTATTTTAATTTTATTTATTTTTCATTTACTTAATTTATATACTTTGTGCTCTATAATTTATTGTATTCTAACCTATAATATTATTATTATTATACAGTACTTCTATAGTGCCAACAGTTTGCGCAGCACTTTACTATATATATATATATATATATATATATATATATATATATATATATATATATATATATAAAAACACAGTATTTTTTTTTTTTACCAAAATTAATTTTACTGTAAAATTGACAAAAATGTTAAAATGTTTCCAATATTATATATATATATATATATATATATACACACACACTGTATTTATTTATTTTTTTTTAGCATAATTAATTTTACTGTAAAATTGACAAAAAATTTTAAAATGTTTTCAATATCACAAATTTTTAATTTCTCTGTTGAGTTGCTTAGGATAAAACCTATAAATATTTATCTATTCTGTTTTTTGTTTCTTTTAGGGCTTTTTTGGGTAGCACAGGAAACGGTCATAGACTGCAGACATAGTACAGGAGACGGTCAGAGACTGCAGACATAGTACAGGAGATATCAGAGACTGCGGACACAGTACAGGAGATGACCAGAGACTGCGGACATAGTACAGGAGATGACCAGAGACTGCGGACACAGTACAGGAGATGACCAGAGACTGCAGACACAGTACAGGAGATGACCGGAGACTGCGGACACAGTACAGGAGATGACCGGAGACTGCGGACACAGTACAGGAGATGACCAGAGACTGCGGACGTAGTACAGGAGATGACCGGAGACTGCAGACACAGTACAGGAGATGACCGGAGACTGCGGACGTAGTACAGGAGATGACCGGAGACTGCGGACATAGTACAGGAGATGGTCGGAGACTGCAGACACAGTACAGGGGATGACTGGAGACTGCGGACGCGGTACAGGAGATGACCGGAGACTGCGGACATAGTACAGGAGATGACCAGAGACTGCAGACATAGTACAGGAGACGGTCAGAGACTGCGGACACAGTACAGGAGATGACCAGAGACTGCAGACATAGTACAGGAGATGACCAGAGACTGCAGACATAGTACAGGAGATGGTCAGAGACTGCAGACATACTACAGGAGATGACCAGAGACTGCAGACATAGTACAGGAGATGGTCAGAGACTGCGGACACAGTACAGGAGATGACCAGAGACTGCAGACATAGTACAGGAGATGACCAGAGACTGCAGACATAGTACAGGAGATGGTCAGAGACTGCAGACATACTACAGGAGATGACCAGAGACTGCGGACATAGTACAGGAGACGACCGGAGACTGCGGACATAGTACAGGAGATGACCGGAGACTGCGGACACAGTACAGGAGAAGACCAGAGACTGCAGACACAGTACAGGAGATGACCAGAGACTGCAGACACAGTACAGGAGATGACCAGAGACTGCAGACACAGTACAAGAGATGACCAGAGACTGCAGACACAGTACAGGAGATGACCAGAGACTGCAGACACAGTACAAGAGATGACCAGAGACTGCAGACATAGTACAGGAGATGGTCAGAGACTGCAGACATAGTACAGGAGACGGTCAGAGACTGCAGACATAGTACAGGAGAGGGTCAGGGACTGCAGACATAGTACAGGAGACGGTCAGAGACTGCAGAAAAAGAAAGAAATTGATAAACATAAAAAAAGAAACATGTTAAATAAAGAAAACCATTTCACTGGTCGATCTCGATGTAACAATCAGTAAGTAGGCTCCAAGGTTAGGAAAACAGACCGCTACCTGCAGGGGCCCCGAGGGATGCACAGCAAGTGCTGGGGGGCCGCAGGCGGGGCTCCAGGGTCTTCGATGTATGTAAATATATATATACTGAGTTAGGTGTTGATAGCGTAGATCTGTACATATCTGTATACATAGAGCAAAAAAAACTAAAGAAAAGATTTCTACAAATATATCCAGTATTTCTATACGGAGAGAAGATTTTTTTACCTGTATATATGTACAGAATTGTCATCGATTTATCGAGATGAGTCATCTTCCCGTGTATTGGAGTGTATGCCGATCGTCCTCGTCTCCTCCCTTCTACATACCACGGAAAGTCGATTGATAGATAGGGGGCGCTAATGTTCCTTTAACAGCCAGATTTCCTCTCTAAGGTTTCCCAAATTTTAGTCCGGCTCCAGCCAAGACCACGTTCATCTCCATGTTTGGACAGACTGAGGCGGGGCTAGAGCTCCCGGCAGGCTGTGATTGGTGGGGAGTGAAGGAAAGGTGTCGGCTGTTGGGATCTCGGTCGAGTCGTAGGCGGGGTTCACAGCTACGCAGATGGCGGTCGATGCATTTTTCTGGGTGCATGGTGCATTTTTTTTCTGATGTTTTTTCTTTTGCATTTTGTGCTTCATGTGACTTTAGCTGGTTGCGGAGGAGCGGCGTCCTTATGCACCGGGAAACAACATGGTCGCTAAGGAACGGGCAACCGCCGCATCCTTAACAACCGATGAGTCGTCGGCTGCCAGCAGGGTTCCCCGCTGAGCGCTGAATGAAAACGAAACAGTTATTGGCAATGAAAAAAATCAGGAAACAAACAGCTTCCCCCAATCCATTCCAGGCTCTTGGGTCTGTATGGATTTTAAGGGGAACACCATGACAAAAAAAAAAAAAAAAAAGGCCGTGGGTTCCTCCAAAATCCATACCAGACCCTTTAGCAAGCATGCAACCCGGCATTCCAGGAAAGGGGGGGGAGGAGCTCCTGAACCAGTGTTTGTGGGGGTCTGCGGGGGGTGACTTATCGGAGTCTGAAAGCCCCCTTTAACAAGAGGAACCCAGGATCAATATGCCCTCAAGCCCCTGTCAAGGGGGGCCCCAGATCCACATGCCCACAAGCCCCAGTTAAGGGGGGCCCCAAATCCACATGCCCTCAAGCCCCTGTTAAGGGGGGCCCCAGATCCACATGCCCTCATGCCCCCGTTCACAAGGGGGCCCCCAGATCCACATGCCCTCAACATGGGGGGGGTGCTTTGATGTTGATGAGGCAAGGGCCTCTTCCCCACAACCTGGGGTTGTGGGGGTCTACGGGGGGTGGCTTATCGGAATCTGAAAGCCCCCTTTAACAAGGGGGCCCCCAGATCCACATGCCTATGAAAAATTATTTTTTTTTACTATTTTGGGCCAGTTTTCCTTTGATAATAAAAAAAATCAGGAATGCGGGGTCCGGGCAGAGCGGATATAGTGAATGCGGGGTCCGGGCAGAGCGGATATAGTGAATGCGGGGTCCGGGCAGAGCGGATATAGTGAATGCGGGGTCCGGGGAGAGCGGATATAGTGAATGCGGGGTCCGGGGAGAGCGGATATAGAGAATGCGGGGTCCGGGGAGAGGGGATATAGTGACTGCGGGGTCCGGGGAGAGCGGATATTGAATGCGGGGTCCGGGGAGAGCGGATATAGTGAATGCGGGGTCCGGGGAGAGCGGATATAGTGAATGCGGGGTCCGGGCAGAGCGGATATAGTGAATGCGGGGTCCGGGGAGAGCGGATATAGTGAATGCGGGGTCCGGGGAGAGCGGATACAGTGAATGCGGGGTTCGGGGAGACCGGATATAGTGAATGCGGGATCCGGGGAGAGCGGATACAGTGAATGCGGGGTCCGGGGAGAGAGCGGATATAGTGAATGCGGGGTCCGGGGAGGGCGGATACAGTGAATGCGGGGTCCGGGGAGAGCGGATATAGTGAATGCGGGGTCCGGGGAGAGCGGATATAGTGAATGCGGGGTCCGGGGTCTAATTTTCAGGGATTTGATAGATTTTCTGGGGGACATTTTAGGTATGTCCTGTTTCTCCCTATTTATTGATCCGGATTATATTGGACTGACTGTGGGAGGTGAATGCTGATATTTTCCTGATAGGAGATTGCTTTGTGATCATCGCTGCAATTTTTATGATAAAAATTCTATTGAGAGAACTATGAATATTATAAGGAAGATTTGTATCAGAAGATCGGTCTGTATTGTCTGTATGAAGAGGTGTGTCATAGGATTACATTGTAACAGACGACAGATTGGACGATTCATGTATAAGGGTGACTCTGCTATGTTGGAGAAACCCTGCAGTAATAGGAGCACTCTGATGTGATGAAGGGACTCATGTATAGGGGTGCCTCTGCTGTGATGAAGGGACTCACGTATAGGGGTGCCTCTGATGTGATGAAGGGACTCACGTATAGGGGTGCTTCTGCTGTGATGAAGGGACTCACATATAAGGGTGCCTCTGATGTGATGAAGGGACTCACGTATAGGGGTGCCTCTGCTGTGATGAAGGGACTCACGTATAGGGGTGCCTCTGCTGTGATGAAGGGACTCACGTATAGGGGTGCCTCTGATGTGATGAAGGGACTCACGTATAGGGGTGCCTCTGCTGTGATGAAGGGACTCACATATAGGGGTGCCTCTGATGTGATAGGGGTCATTTATGGTTGGGACTTCGATGTATAGATGAGATTTCATGGGGCCCACTGATTTGCAGGTGGGACCCTGATGTAAAGTGAGGTGCCGTGATTACAAAAAGGTTGAGAAGCTCTGCTCTAGTGAGATGAATTGTGATTGGCTGCTGGGAGCCCCCACACGTTGTCCAGGGATAGGTCTGTAATCCCCTCATTAGGGGCTCATTCACATAGTTACAGGAAGAAAGACGATCGTCCATTGAGTCCAACCAATAGGAAATAAATAGCAATCCTCCCCATACACAATCCTATCCCCACCAATCATCCGGAGGAAGGTAGCCCCTCCCCCCCAATGTATGGCAATCAATGGCTGCTAATGTGTGCTGCGTCAGGTCAGCCCTTCCCGGTGAATGTGCTGCCAACGACCTGCGCTGGAAAGGTGTGAATGAGCCCTGAAGGGTTTCTGGTCTCGATGAGACAAGAATCCAGCCATACACGCACCAATGGTCAACCACTTCCCATCCCCCATGAATAGAGAATACGGTCCCAAAGAAGTCCCGGAAATCAGAATCTCCTACTCATCTGCCACAATGTGTGCAATTCGAAGGTGGGAAATAATTGGGCCATATCTCTACAGATTATTGGAAGATTGAAACAAAATTGGGGGGGGGGGAGCTTCGGCCATCAGCTTCTCCGCCAGGTTCGGTTCGATCCCCTCCCCTTTCAGTCCCCTGCAGCCACCATTTCATGTGTTTGATCGCTTTACGATTTGGGCTGAAAGTGCATTGGAAACGATCGATTGTATGTATGGCCGGCGTCTCCTTGTGCCTGAGACGGCAGCGATGTGATTGGTTGCAGTTGCGAGCACAGACATCCTCCTACCGACAATGAGGCACACACACCCGGCACCGTATAGATTCGCTCTCAGTTTCTACCCCGCAGAATCGGAATCCCGTCTCCCGGAATGTCGGTAACGTTTATCTGTCAGAAATGTCTCTTTACCAGCAAAACAAATGCAATCTCAGCACCTCGTGTATTTAGCAGCTTTTATGAAACGATTTATTTCTTCCATTTTATGTAACAAAGAAGCAGATTGATAATCTATGTGATGAAAAATGAAATAAATACATATTGTTTATACAAAAACGGCTTTTCTTGTGTGTCGTGTTAGTGTGCTGCCCAGTCAGTGCTGCCAATGATTGCCATTGGTGGTCAGTGAATGTGTTACCCTGAATTGGTGGCCAGTGAATGTGTTACCCTGAATTGGTGGCCAGTGAATGTGTTACCCTGAATTGGTGGCCAGTGAATGTGTTACCCTGAATTGGTGGTCAGTGAATGTGTTACCCTGAATTGGTGGCCAGTGAATGTGTTACTCTGCGTTGGTGGCCAGTGAATGTGTTACTCTGCGTTGGTGGCCAGTGAATGTGTTACTCTGCGTTGGTGGCCAGTGAATGTGTTATCCTGCTTTGGTGGCCAGTGAATGTGTTACCCTTCGTTGGTGGCCAGTGAATGTGTTACCCTTCGTTGGTGGTCAGTGAATAAATGTTACTCTGCATTGGTGGTCAGTGAATAAGTGTTACCCTGCATTGGTGGCCAGTGAATGTGTGACCCTGAATTGGTGGTCAGTGAATAAATGTTACCCTGCATTGGTGGGCAGTGAATGAGTGTTACTCTGCATTGGTGGTCCGTGAATAAGTGTTACCCTGCATTTGTGGTCAGTGAATGTGTTACCCTGCATTGGTGGCCAGTGAATGTGTTACCCTAAATTGGTGGTCAGTGAATAAATGTTACCCTGCATTGGTGGGCAGTGAATGAGTGTTACTCTGCATTGGTGGTCCGTGAATAAGTGTTACCCTGCATTTGTGGTCAGTGAATGTGTTACCCTGCATTGGTGGTCAGTGAATAAGTGTTACCCTGCAATGGTGGCCAGTGAATGTGTTACCCAGCATTGGTGGCCAGTGACTGTGTTACCCTGCATTGGTGGTCAGTGAATAAGTGTTACCCTGTGTTGGTGGTCAGTGAATGTGTTACCCTGCATTGGTGGTAAGTGAATAAGTGTTACTCTGCATTTGTGGTCAGTGAATGTGTTACCCTGCATTGGTGGTCAGTGAATAAGTGTTACACTGCATTTGTGGTCAGTGAATGTGTTACCCTGCATTGGTGGTAAGTGAATAAGTGTTACTCTGCATTGGTGGTCAGTGAATAAGTTACCCTGCATTGGTGGCCAGTGAATGTGTTACCCTGCATTGGTGGGCAGTGAATGAGTGTTACTCTGCATTGGTGGTCAGTGAATAAGTGTTACCCTGCATTTGTGGTCAGTGAATGTGTTACCCTGCATTGGTGGCCAGTGAATAAGTGTTACCCTGCATTGGTGGGCAGTGAATGAGTGTTACTCTGCATTGGTGGGCAGTGAATGAGTGTTACCC